GGGTTTGGTGCACTTGGCCGCTAAATTTTAAGATATTTTGAGGGGTCCATACAGACAGACCCTAAAGTTTCCATACCTACCCCTCCCCCTTCATTATTCAAATTTTTCTTTGTGATTCTGATATACATGTACCTGGGCATATTGTCCATATGTCTAAAGCATTTAAATTAAGCCCCCCCCCCCCCCCTCCCTCCTTCCTTCCAGTGAAAATACTTGGGTATGTCTCTTGTATAACAAGGATTAACACTAAACTTACTGAGAAAGAGAAAGTTATGGGATAGGCAGTTGGCAAAGAAAGAAAGAGGATATATACTAATTTTAAGAACTTTTCAGTTAAAAACAAAAACGAATTGGGAGTGACATCTATCTCTAGACCTGTAGAAACTGTTATAATGCTAAATGATGAAGAATCTTTTCTGTTCTGGCGCTGCACAGTATTTCTGATTACATCCATGAGACCTGATGAGTCAAAAAGTAAGTTGGCATCTGTTCGACCGGATGTTTCTCTTTCATTCCACTGAAGGATACAAATTGTACACCTACATACCAGCAGCATAGCTTCATTAGACCCCTTCACACATGGTGCGGAAAACCCCCTCGAACAACCACCGAGCCAAAATAAAACCATCTTAAATGTAGGCTTCAAAGCCTTCAATCCCTCTTCAGACAAACAAAAATATTTTTTATGATAACTAGGATTAAATTCTAGTCTGAAAGGCGTACAGCAAAATATTCAAGCATCATCTCAATCAAAAACTCAATCAGGGTGCCGTTGCTGTATACCGGTATAACCTTGTTGACCGGTGTGTACATGTACATGTACATTTTGGCCCCATCTTATAGAATATTAAAGCAAATAAGTTTTGATAGATATCAATCGCACCTTCATGTATGTACATATAAAGAGATAGCAAACTTGCAATTGATTTGGATCGATTGCAAGTTTGCAACTCATTATAAGACAGGGCCCAGGTGTACATGTACACACCCTTTCACAATACAAGCACAATCTTTATTCAATATTAGTTTAGTATCATCTTCTCAAGTCTGAACATGCTACATGTATTAAAGTGAAGGGCATGTACATGTAGAAGTGACAAAATGTAGTTGCTGCAGAAAAGGCCTCTGTGAATATATTACAGATACAATAAATTTTGTTACTGCATTATATGCTAATGTAATTTTATTCGTGTGAGCGGGCCTTATAAACATCTGCCTGGATACGTGTATACATGTACATGTAATTTTCACTGTTATTATAATAATTGCTATAAAAAATATTGTGTTAGGCATATTCACCTCCAACTTCTGAAAATCATGACCTTCATTCATGCAATCATATTTCAGACCTAATGTACAATGTACAGGTACACTGTACATGTACATGTACATGTACGAGAAGGAACTCCAAGGAAATTCAGAAATGTCATTGAATTATTTGTTTTTGATGCTTGTTTGTTTATCCATTTAATTTTTTTTTCTTTTTTTTTTTCTAACAAATTGATTATTCAAGCCAACTAAAAAGCCATGTAAAATTTAACAATGTTTATGTTCTATTACTGTATATCTACCATATTTGCCGGCGTATAGGCCGCAGTATTTTTGGAAGAAAAAATATCAAAAAGTCGGGGTGCGGCCTATGCGGCGAAAGAGTAAAAAAAAAGATTTTTTTTTTTTTTTTTTTTTTTTTTTTTTTTTTTTTTTTTTATTTATTTTTTTTTAGTTTTGATTTATGGCGCTATGCCTGGCAATGTCTCCCAGCTCAGTAATCATTGTTGACTCACCACTCGGAAACTACAACAACACTAAAATTTGTCTGTCATCTTGGTTTGAAAGTAATCTTTCTAATAGATCTCAATATGTAGTTTATAATAATAATTCCTCAATTTTTTTTATATAACAAATGGTGTACCACAAGGTACTGTCCTAGGACCTAGTACTCTTTTGTTTTTAATTCACATTAATGATCTTACACATTCTTCTAAAAACGACATTGTTACTATTATTTTGTGACAAGTTTACAAGCACAAATCAGCGCCTTTAACTGCACCTCGATGTTAAATGAAGGTCCTTCCCCGCGTGGGTTTTCGGCAACAAAACAACAACAACAACCAAAAAAAAAAAAAAAAAAAGATTTTTTTTTTTTTTTTTTTTTTTTTTTTTTTTTTAAATGCCAAAATCGGGGGTGCGGCCTATACGGCGGTGCGGCCTTTACGCCGGCAAATACGGTATTTAAAGCAGTGATGAGTCATATGTGTAATGTTGGCAAAGTGAAGTTCCATTTGAGAATACAATTGGAATTGGAATTGAATGGAAATAAGGTACAAATGGAAACAAGCTTTATGTAATTCTATATTGAAAAGGTACTGTGATGTCTAACTTTGAACCGCAAGTTTTGATTAATCTTTCATATACCGGTAGTACAGGCTTTACTTTCATAGAGTATACAGGCATGCAGGCAACATGTGTAGCGTACATTTAGGCTGGGCTCAACAATAACAGGCGCCCGGCCCGGGACACATTTGGGCCCAACATTTTGGTCCGGACCCCAAAAATTACAACATTTTGTTGTTGACATTGGGCTTGTTCTATTACAGACTTAAAAATCTAAATCCAAACCTCCTTCCTTCCCTAAGTTAGTGTGGAGCCCTGTTAAAGGCTCACATAAACAGGACCCAAATTATCTGTTCTTCTCATCAAAACTCCTTGCACTTTTGTAACCTTTTCTTTCAAGCGAATATTTAAAGGGGTCCTTTTCATGCATGTGTACTTTTTTTAAGCATAAATGGTAGAATATGCTAAAGATTATTTATTTGTGCTGAATTTGAGTTCAATAGCATAGGCCTGTGTTTGTGTGAATAGAGATATGGCTGGAGGGAGGGAAGGGGGGGGGGGGAGGGGAGAAGAACAGGTTTCCCTTTCATCACAATAGCTTGCTCTCATGCAGTACAAGCAAGAGGATGGGGTATTTGTGTTCCATTTTCTATGCTTTAAACATCAGTCTTAAAGAACCCCTCCCCCTCCAAGTTTCAAAGGCTGTATTTCAGAAAGAAAACAAATTCTTCTGGTATCCATTAGGATGATACAAAGACAAGTCCAAAGCTTTGTCATGGGATAGAAATAATTACATGTACCTTAAAGATAAAGACCAGTTATGGTCATGCGATTGCATTGTGAAAGAAACGTTGTGGAATCGATCAGAAAAGGTTGATCATCTAGCATCTAGCATCTGCAAGGTTCTGGAATCATCAAAATGATAAGAAATTTGGCCCATTCTTCGTAAAGTTACAAGCACTATACACAGAAAGATGTATATGGGACTACCCTATATCTCTCACAGACCATGAGAGAAACAAATTTACCAAATATATGAATTAGTAGGTGGTTTCCTGGCAAATTTTTTATCATCATGTATTAGTCAAAACATATTCTTTCACATGATTGGTAATGAGAGCTTCCATTTCATTTTTTGAAATTGGGGCGTTTCCAATACTGGTCTTTACCTTAAAGGCATTTTTAGAGAGAAGATCTGACTAATATGATATTGTGATATTTTCACAAACATGACCAGTGCCTGGCTTCATTGAACGTATGGAACCCTTCCAACTTCCCCTGCAAGTCACGTACGCAATCAAATTTGTTCAAGTCGTGAGTTCAGCTCTGCATATTCCATATACATCTACGGGTACAACATGTACATTCTTTCTTGGAAAGTTGGCAGATATAGTACACATACCAATACTATACAGTATACTGCACATATATTTGATGCCAATACTACATATCTCTTGTGCCAAATGCATGTCTGGTATACAGCTGGGAATGAACTTGTTGATTTGTACCCTTAAGAGAAAGTATTTTAACAGGTAGGGAATGAACGAACGCACTTCTTCCTCGTTCATTGTACTCACTCGCTTTCCTTTCAGTCAACTAATACGCAATAACATAGACAAACTATGTAGTTGTGCATGTACTCTGTGCATAGTGAAGTAAAGTTTGGGGTGTTTTACCCAAAGGAGGAAACAGAAAGACTAGATAAAACAAAACAAGAGGAAGAGACTCCGTAAAACGGATACAATGACAATACGATGACACCTTCATAATGGCTTTTTGCGGCTGTAGGGGAGGTCATCATAATAGAGCTACTAAATTTATAACAGACAAGGTCGGAGCTAACTTTTAGAAACAGACATGGTCAATACATTTCATCATGGTATATGTTTTGAACTACTAGTACATTGTAGATTAAAAGCTTTTTTTGTTTAGCATCCTTTGTTAAACTCCACTTTACATTAACATGTAGATTAGGCTTAACATGAAACCAGTTTAAGTATTGAAAAAATACAGCACACCTATGAGTTGTAATACGGGGTATTCCATTTGGGTCCACAATTATATGAAGTACACTCTTAGCCTAAAAAAAAGTATATATACTATGCATACATTCATGTATATGTAATATGTCACTATTCAATGTACGGTACATGTACACTCTATGTCAATATTTCTCTGTCCTCTTTCTTTCTTTACTTCTTTTTTTTCTTCTTTTGTGTCTCTCTTCTCTCGTGTTCATTTTCTCTTTCCCTCTTTCTTTCTCTTCCCCTCCCCTCTCTCTTTTTACCTTTTCATTAGCTTCTTTTGATCTTAGTTTATCTTTCTCTCCTGTTCTTCTTTTATTGCTTTCACTTTCTCCCTCTTCTCTTGTTTTCTGTTTTCTGTTTTCCCCTACCCCCCCCCCTTCATATCTCTCTTTTCCCCTTCTTCCCTTCTTTCTTCTCTCTTTACTATAACTCTCCTTAATTACTAACTTTTTCCTTGTTACACTAGTATTCTTAGTACGTCATGCTTGGCTCACTGCCACGTTGCGGTGCTATATGTATTCCTGATGAAGTACAATGGCTGAGGATCCAAAGTTTCAGACTTTTCACAGAATCATTTATTTTCAACTGATTTTGTATCGATATTCATCTTGACAGCAAGTTTCTTTTGTCTTTATCCAGACAACTGACGAAATGATGACCGGTGGGCACGGTCATCACACAATGCCAGCCGGGATGACCAATGGGCACGGTCATCACACGATGCCATCCGGGATGACCGGAATGACCGAACATATCCACCCGAGCAACGGTACACATACAGACCACGACATGGATATGGTATGACAGTGATCCAACTTTTACTCTGCAACATTTGCTCAAACCATAACCCAACCCTAACCCTAACCCCAACCCTAACCCTAACTGGCATGACCAGCATAATGCAACACCCCCCCCCCCCCCCCTCCCTCCAGGCGCGGATCCAGGATTTCTTCGGGGTGGGGGCCCAAATTTGAAATCAATTTGAAATTTAGTGTGCTGAAATTTGAAAATCGTGCCAGCCCATATTTCGCTCAGTTGGGGGGGGGGGGGGGGGGGTTAGTAAGCACTAATTTTTTTTTTTTTTGGCCCTCGAAAATTTGAAAAATCACAACCCCCCCCCCCCCCCTCCCTTGAGCCCCAGGGGGGGGGGGGGGGCTATCTCCAAAAAAAGGTAAAATTAATGTGTTTTTACACATTTTTCCTTCAGAAGCTCAGGGGTTTATACATCAAATTATCCGCAGATATGCATACATGTAATTATACCTTATTTGTGACACTGGCAGGTAACTTATTGGCATGGGGTCCAGGGGGCGGAGCCTCCAGAAGCTCAGGGGTTTTAGGAATTTTGTAGAGATTATAACAAACCATACGCGTAACGGTCGTAAGACACATCACATGCTCCTGTGACAGGTGCTCCTGGGCAATTTTCTACACTAATCAAATTCCCAACTTAAGCCCTGGACCAAACGCTTTGCTTACCCTAACCCAATCCTTAAAGGTAAAGACCAGTTATGGTCATGCGATTGCATTGTGAAAGAAACGTTGTGGAATCGATCCGAAAAGGTTGATCATCTAGCATCTAGCATCTGCAAGGTTCTGGAATCATCAAAATGATAAGAAATTTGGCCCATTCTTCGTAAAGTTACAAGCACTATACACAAAAAGATGTATATGAGACTACCCTATATCTCTCACAGACCATGAGAGAAACAAATTTACCAAATATATGAATTAGTAGGTGGTTTCCCGGCAAATTTGTTATCATCATGTATTAGTCAAATCATATTCTTTCACATGATTGGTAATGAGAGCTTCCATTTCATTTTTTGAAATTGGGGCATTTCCAATACTTGTCTTTACCTTTAACCCAATCCTAACCCTAATCCTATACCTTTGATGACATAAAGCACCACAGCTGATGGATATGTTAAATATCATTTAAAGTGTACCCTCCATTTATCCTGCATTACAACAGTTGAAATTCAAAAATAAAATCGCACCTTGGCAAAACTGGAAATGAAAACAGTTATAACCCTGCATTGTAATCCCACGGCGACCCGTAGGGCCTGTAAAGATAGGGATACTCCCAAGGGTGACCCTGAGGCCGCCGCAAGTATCTCTCGATTTCGGGTGCGTACGGCCAAGACGTAGAGTAAATGTGACCTAGGCATTAGGGTTCTTCAGAAGTTTTTCAAGGTTTGGGTGCAGTTAAAAGTTTTAGGCCTGTCAAATTGGAAGCACTTCAGTGCTCTGTCTACTAAAGAGTTGTGGTGGTCCAAATTACATTGCATGTCCTCCAAACAATCACAAAGTGGACATAATCTATCTGTTAAGTATCTTTCCTTATAAGATGGAATCTTAGAAGCCCCGTAGAGCGCAGTTTAAAAGGGGAGGGTAATAGTTGTTTTAATAGCGAACAGTTTTATAATATTGCCCTTTTTTTGTTTTTTTACACAGATGATGCAGATGACTTTCTATCTTTCAACGAAAGTTACTATCCTCTTTGAGCAATGGGCTGTGAACAGTGTAGGAGGTAAGAGAGTTGTTTATGTAAAGTGCTCTGCAGGGACAAAATACATGAGGGCTTGGGGCGATTGAGCCCCTTGAATGCCAGAAAAAGCCCCTGAAAGTCATTCAAGAGCAAAAAAAATAATTTGCATAGAGTTAAAAGCAATACAAATTAAAGAATGTTATTTTCATTCAAGCAAGCTTGAAAAGTAGACCACGTAATTTTTTTAATATTTTTTTCCCTGGCACTGCTCTGATGTTTGAGGTATTTCCCAAATCTGTTAGTTACCTGACATCAAAATGTGAAAATTTCGAGAAAAAAATGAAGGATTAGCCTCTTTCGTGATTGTCTTTGTTATATACCTCAATGACACTGCCAGACTGACTCCAAACCGACTCCATTCCGACTGATTCTTGGCCATTTGAAGTGATGTAATTATGCCTCCGCTACTCCGAGTAGTCGGAGGCATTATTTTGTCTGGTTGTCCGTCCGTAGGTCCATCTGTCTGTATGTCCCGTTCTCGTTATCTCAAGAACCGATTGATGGATTCCCACCAGACTTGGGTCATTTATGTATCTTGCAGAGCTAATTAACTGATTAGATTTTGGGGTGCTGTAAGACCATATTTCACTTAAAGTGGAGTAATTAAATTCTCGCTGAAAAGACTGATCTCTAATATGCATGTATTATTTTACGTTTTTAACAATCATCACCATTAAAAATGATGATCCAAAATCAGACTTGCAAAACTGTTGGTGGGATTAATTAACAACATTCAGCAATTTGTCACCGACTTTAATTCCTCTATAAAACCTATTCCTCTATCTGTATGTGCAGGTCTAATCGGGTCCTGCATTGCTGTGTTCGTCTTGGCCATGTTCTACGAGGGGTTAAAGGTCGGCCGTGAGCTGCTCCTTCGTCGATCCGTGGTCAATGTCCGCTACCACTCGCAACAAATCTCAAAGGGCAGTGAGACGTTCTTGACGGAAACCCACAATGCAGGAGAGTAAGATTGTAGTTTCTGTTTTTTCTCTTACTATGTATATTTGCCATTTTTGTATATATTATAATATTGTTTTTATGCTTGAGAAGAATTAATAAATTGATCTGAACTGAACTAAGTTTTTGATGGCCACAGACCACAAGACTGACAAAGCCAGTCTTGCAATGTCAGCTTATTAGATGATTTATAATGCCTCATAATGATAATAATGATCATAAAGAATCTATTTTCCCTATGAAACAATGTGTCCCATACCTTATGCATACCTGCCAACCCTTACAAATTATCCAAAATATTCTGATTTTCCGGATTTTTAGGACCGTGATTTGAAAGTTTGCGTATTGTGTGTATTGAATGGCTGCACGATCAAGATCCAAATTTGTTATTCGCTTTTTTGTACAGATTTACCACGTATACAGTGCCAGTTACACTGCCACTGCATACATGGCCATGGTAAGGCCGTGCGATTCCTGCTAGAAATTCCTAATTCTTATTTTCAAATGTTGGCAGGTATGCCTTATGGATACCTTGAATAATAATAATACACGTTAAAGGTAATACAAAGTTTTGGCAAATTTTGAAAATTGGCTAGATAGTGATTTCTTACAATTGTGATATATTTGGATGCCCCTGAGGATGTATTATAAGCACTAAACAAATTAGCCCGTAAAACACTTCTGCTTTCGAGATATAATGAATATCAAAATTTACCGGTGCTCCTAGTAAATTTTTATAAATTTCAAATAGCGCCTACGGCCATAAAATGATAGCTGCGACCATGAAAATCTCAGAATATGCAGTTGTGATATATAATTTCCAAACGGGAATAGCAAATCGGTCGATTTTAGTCAAGAAACATTGTTTTATAGCTATATCAATATCTTGACCTTGAGAGGGAGCTATACAACATAAAGAGCTTATTATTTAAATTTTCATCACTTTAGACTCGGTTTCAATCACGACAAAGATCACTGAATATTGTAGGATCGCATATGCTTCCAATATGTTAATTTGAACCAAATTCATGACCCCATACCATAACTTTGTATTACCTTTAAAGCAATTTGACCATGGAGTTTGGAAAAGGTTTATATAAAAAATGATTAGTTCTTATTAATAATAATAATAATAATAATAATAGGTATTTCTATAGCGCCATCTACCGGTATCTAGAAATTCTATTCCGAGGCGCATTAATTATTACCCCCGCTTTAGCCTAGCTGCCATTACAGCGCTCCAGCATTTCAAGGGATTAATTCCTGCCAGGTATCCATTTACCTCAACTGGGTCAAGTGCGGCAAATGAAGAATAATGCCTTGCCAAAGGACATTAGTGCCATGTCGGGATCGAACCACAACCTTTGATTTCCAAGTCAAGTCCTTAATAAACCACTTGACCACGACACTTCTGCTGTATTTAATATTAATCCTTTAAATCTATCCTTCTTGTGACTTTTCTATCCAGAGCGCAGTTACTGAGTTGGGGACACGTCATCCAAACACTCCTGCATGTCGTCCAGGTGACCCTTAGCTATTTCCTTATGCTCATCTTCATGACCTACAACGGCTATCTCTGCATCGCTGTGGTCATGGGCGCTGGCACCGGTTACTTTATCTTCGGTTGGAAAAAAGCCATCGTCGTCGACATCAACGAGCACTGCCACTGATTGCTGCCTGCCGTGGTCATCGATCGGGGAGACAGACAAACTGGTGCCTGCCATTTGAAATGAGAAATCTTGAGAATCTATATTAACTTGATTTTTATTGTTAAAATGCGCTATGTCCTTTTGTGCTCTCGTGACTTTAGAATGCATTAATATTTAGGAGAAAAAAAACACTGGTTCCAGAAGGAATATATTATTTCTGTTTTATAGCAGCATTGATTTTCTGTGAGAATAGAGGGATATCCTTGGAAACACGAGTTCCATTTCTCAGTGATCTTAAACACCATGCTTATCAATGCTGCTACAAAAAAAGGAAATAATTTGTATGATCAGGCAAATTGTATTTACATAAGATTATATTGCCTCTGTTATCCATTTAGTTTGCTAGTCTGTTCCACAATGCTGTCTGTTTTATTTCATCCTTTGTCCATGCCTTTGATTATTCAACTAATTAATTTTTGCAATGAGTTTCTAAATGTTTTTGCACTGAAATTTTAGCTTCAAAATGCAGCTCTCCTGGATGTTGTTTTTTATTAAAGGTTTTGTAGTACTACAGCTGTATAGGGAACCTTTCTTTTATGATTTCTCTCAGAGCCTTCACTGCTCTCTCGCGTACTTGCAGCGTATTTTAGTGTTAAGTAAGCGATTAAAAGTTTCCCAAAGATTATAGGCTCTGATCCTCATATATCAGATTTTTAATCCCACCCTCTTGTCTTAGAGAAGATCTTTGAAGATATGTGCTGATTTTATAATTTATTTGATGAGAAAATATAGTGGAATTTCAAATATGTACATTCGTCCTTAAATCAAATAAGACATATTATTTCATAAATCATTTGATGGATTTTGAACATCATGATCTGTCAAGAAATTGTTAGCTTGTTAGACAAATTTTGTTATACATTGTACTATTTTGTATTAGTTATGTTTATATGATTTAAGTAAGTGATGTAATTTTTATTTTAAATATTGTACTGTCATTTTTTAAAGCAAAAAAGATACATGCTATGATGATTTCAGCTTTTATTTAATTTACGATATGATTACCCAGTTTTATGAGCATTGAATCTAATTGTGTTGTAATTCATAATGTATGCAAGCTTTAGAAAAAAAATCATTGACCAATCAAGATCTCAACATTTGTCTTGAGTTCTGTTAATGTTCTGTGAATGTCAATGGGTCTAGTGGACCAACACAATACAAATCAAACTATCAAAACTTCCTGAAAATAACATTCACTGAAAAACACAACTTGGCAATTCCTTAGAAAATATTCTGCACAACACATGGCTTGATATACTTTGTTTTATGCATTTATTTCATCTGTAAATAAAAAATATATATTGATATGATCATTTAATAATGTTAGCGAAAACAGATTTGATTGGAATTTCCCAACTCACATTTGCTCTTATTTTATGCACCCTGTCTTGATGCCCATCTCAACATCCCATCTTTCCTTGTCGATTAAAAATAGACTTTCTACAAAAATAAAAGCGTTTTGCAGCCATGTCGTTCATTTGCAATTAAAGCCTATGGTAATCTCTGCCTTTAACAGATCCAGCTGTTTTACAATAAGTTATCTTAGCCAGGCTTCAATGATAATATACAAATGTTATCACTTTGGTAGTTTTAACATTCCGATTCATGCTGTATACAATCAACCCTGTATCTTTTATATTTTTCTCATAAATGCACTTTTGTAACTTGCTTGTAAATACTCATGGCAAGCCAGATGTATTTTCGAAGAGTATAGAGCTTCCTTGTGAGGGCAATAATAAAAGTTACTTGAAGCTAGTTGGTTGATAATAAATGTGGTTAAGGTGTACAATGTTTTATGATGCACATAACCAGAAATTTAGTATTTTTGATTACAGACAGTAATTCTTCTCTTCAAATAGATAATAAGATTATGTCAGACGTATATTGTTCAATGTATATCTACAATGTACAATAGAGTTGTATACATGGCCTGAGCATATACCATTTTTATGATCAGAATGCAACATTATATATATATATATATATTTCATTTGTTCAGAAGTACTCAAATCTGCCTATTGGAGGTGAGAATAAATGAACAGAAGCCTAATTAAATTGATTGAATTGATTCTTATCTACTTTTATCCTGTACATGAGTATGATAGACTTTACAAAAAATAGACTTTTCAATCTAATGATGCTTTACAGAGGAAGATAGAAATCAACAGAGTTAATATCATCTGTTTGGAGCCATAGGGGCGTTATATTCCATTGTATGTCATTTAACACTGTGAATGCCCTTCTGGCTCCTGACGCATGATATGGTCTCACAATTTGTTGCAAGAACTCAACAATTGTTTTGATGCTTCAAGAAAGATTATTTCTTAAAAAATCCATAAGAAAGTTGATCCTCTTTTTTTTCTTATCTGATAAGCACTCCAAATTTTCCCACAACCCTTTACAATGATATGGAGATGTCAAATCCTGTTCAAAAGGATAGAATTTATACATGAAGGTTGAATGAATAAACCGCCATAGAAAAGCTGCCACAGCTTTTTTATGTATAAAATGAAGGACTTGTGCATAATCACTGAGCTCTGTTTTATAAGATACATAAATGTGAAGTATATTACACTTTGCGGCAAAAAAAGAAAGGAAAACACTGCTGTTTTGCTGTGTCACATTTGGACGAGCCTTAAAACATGTTTTAAAACTCCATGGCACTGTAATGGCTAAAAGTCTGTTTCCAAGAATGTTTGTTACACCATAAATTTGTTATAATTTTTGTCTGTTTGACCCTGACCGATCCCTTACACAGGCATGCGATGTAGAGTCGCACGATTGGAACATAATGTACTATGTACATTATAATATCCTCAAGAAAAAAATGGATATGTATCACTATACATTTACTTGTATATGAAATAAGAAAACTAGCAATGAAATAAATGCATGCAATGATGTAATAATTACAATTTCTTAAGTAGATGGAGAAACACACCAAGGCAAGGGAAGCAAAAAATTTGATTATTTTTAATTCAGTTTTAGTTTTTGACCCATCAGTACTTGTAATTTAAATACCAATTAAGTATGCTTTTATGCCGGCAGATAAAACAGATTGTATAATGTAGCAGTGCATTAGTGATAAGGCAAACAGTCACGTTTAATATGTATTTTAAAAAAATGAAATTGGCATGTAAGGGTAGCAAGTATATCTATGCTTTAAATTTCGGCATGGTCCCTTAGGAGCATTTAAGATTAGTACGGTATAGGATTTACATTACCAGATTAATGTGTTGTTTGAAGGAAAATCTATGCACTCCAATTTACTTGCCTTTAAATCAGAGGTATATCAGCAACACGATTGCCAAGTCTTCTGAAAAATCAACTTAATGCATTTTTGTCTTCAATAGTAGCCTTGTCCCTCACCGTTTGAAATGTGCAAACATTACTAATCTGGATATGATTTCTATGGGACATTAATATACTATTGAAAGTGCCCTTGAGTTGATTTCTCGAAATTAGTTGTGATCGTGTTCAGCGTCCAATGTATTATATTAAATATTATTATTACTAGATCATGATATGAGATATAATGGTACACAGAATATTTTTATCACAATTGGTGGAAAATGTTATATTTGTAAAATTATAATTATTCTTTTTGCTCTTCTTTGTCCTGGTAGAAAATTATACAATAAATTACAACCTTAGCAACCTTGTGTTTCATTTTGATTAGTCGTCGTCTGTCAATTAGGGTTGGGAGGGAGAGGGGGAGGCAGGGGCGGGGGTATGGAGGAGGGGCGTATATGCGTTTTGGGGAACAGCTTAGCAAAATTTCTGACACTGCAATCTTGTATAGATGTGAAAATATGGCCGCCCTTAAATTTCAATTTCAATTTTAAATTTATTCATGTTTCCAACAAAACATTACAAATCAATGATAAGCATTTAAAACAAATGTAAGAAATACATGTTGGAAACAGAGGGGTCCACTAAAAAGCAATGCTTGTACAAGTGTGAACACCTCAAATGATACTTCGGAATAATGAGGAATTAAATTAACTAATCCGTAACTAAAAAAGGAACTACAAAATGGGGGAAAGAAACAGGGGGATGCCAACAGAGACGAGAAAGGGACAAGACAATGCTTTACACGACAAAGATAGAAGAACACGGTCATAATATAGAGAGTAGACAATGACAAAAAAAGAAGTGAGAGATCGGGGGGTACAGAAAATAATACAACATGATGAGCTGCACAGTGGCGGACCAGGAGAAGGGCCCGTCCCCCCCCCCCCCCTCCCTCCCCTGGGGAACGAAAAAAAGGGGAAAGATTTTTTGTTGTTAAAAAAAAAAAATTCCTTCCCCCCAAGCCGCTGAACGAAATATCTGACGACGTAATTTATCCAATTTCCGGGGCAACAAAAGAAAAAGTGGAGAGAAAGGGAAAGAGAAAAAAAAGAGAGAAAGAAGAAAGGTAGGGGAAGTTTCGATTTTCCGCCAACAAAGTGTAGATCAGCATCATCGGGGGCGGGGCACTGGCGTCTTGATCGGGGAGGGGGTTCGTTTCTGATTCCATAACCGTTACGGTGGTTTTACGTAATGCTGAAATGACATATTTTTCCGAGATTTGTCCTCATTTTTTAGTAAATTATTCATTTTTTATGCGTTTGTTGTAAAATGACAAATTCCTAAATTTACAGCCAGGCAAGAAATATGCTTCTTGAGGTGCCTACATGTCAGTGCCCGCGGAACTGCGGAGATCGGGAGCTTCCAGCTCCCTCCCCCCCCCCCCCCCACACTTTTTTGACAAAGTATATTCAATTCTAATATGACGGTAATTTAATGCCTAAAACCCCTGAGCTTCTGGGGGCTCCGCCCGCAGGACCTCACCAGGGCCCCTAAGCTAAGGCGAGCCCCTGAATGCTTGTCTGATCGTAATTTATTGCCTTAATCCCCTGAGTTTCCGGGAGCGGACAAGGTATCAAAATATGTTCATATGACCGCAGACGCGTAGCCATGGGCGCCCCCCCCCCCAAAAAAAAAAAAAAAAAAAAAAAAAAACACCGGCCAAAAAAAAGAGAGGAGAGAAAAAAAAGAGGACGTAGGAAGAAAAAGGAGCAGACAAAAAACATTTTTGAAATTCAGACAAGGATTAAGAGTCGAGAACGGTACAGCGAATCGTTTTTTTTTTCTTTAATAATTTTATAAAACGTCAAAGCTTCCGCGCTTCACGCAGTAGGGGGAGTGGGACTGAATTCATACAAGAATTAAGAGTCGAATATGGTAATATGAATCGTCTTCTTTCTCTAATGATTTAATGAAGCGTAAAAGCTTTCGCGCTTCGCGCAGGAGGGGGGGGGGACCGAATTCAGACAAGAATTAAGAGTCGAGAATGGTAATACGAATCGTCTTCTTTCTCTAATGATTTAATGAAACGTAAAAGCTTCCGCGCTCTGCGCGGAAGGGGAAACTGAATTCAAACGAGGATTATTTTCGAGAACGGTACAACGAATCGTCTCCTCTGTCTAATAATTTAATGAAACGTCAAAGCTTCGGCGCTTTGCGGAGGAGGGAGGGGGAAATCGCCCCTCCCTGCACCTCCCCCCCCCCCCCCCCCCACTACGTCAATGCAGGTCACCATTACGTACCGATATTTGGCTCGCATAATTTCAAATTTGAGCCCCCCTAAGAAATCCTGGATCCGCGCCTGGTGTAGAGCCTTTTAAGCGTTGGGAGCCCCAAAATTTTGATGGTAAAATTTGACTCAAATTGTATCATAATGTGAAAGAGGATCTAATTTTAGACAAATGCGTTTAAAAGTCGAATATTGATGAAAGAATACAAAATTTAGATTTTTCTGCGTACAACAGAAAACCCAAATTATTGTTCTGCTTCTAATGAAGCTATCTTAATATCAGGGAGGACTTCCCCTATTATCATTTTTCTTCAACATGTCTCGGCAAAAATTTGTTTAATTCTCTCAGCAAAATAAACCAACATTTCAAATATATACAGGGGGTTTATAGGTTTTTTTTTTTGTAAACAAAACTTTAAAAAGTTACGCAAAACGTTGTTTGAATATAAAGCTAAAATCTGACCGAACGTTGCCTGCCCCAGATATCAATTTGCACAATCATGGATTGTATGTACTAATTCCAATCATGTTTTCACTCCGATAGATTGATTATACTCCTTAGCATATAAAACAAGCTACAATAAACACACCGTTTGGAATAGTAGAATTTCTTTAAAAAGGGGGTGTTTTTGTTGTTTTTTTCTCTCATCTCTTTGGACTCCTGAGAAATTATTCCGAATTTAGGGGGGTACATTGAGCATTTTTCATGATTTAGGGGGTCTCCAAGGCAGGAAAAGCCCGCGAAAGGGGGGTTCGGAAATGTTGGCAGTCCTCAGATAGGGGGTGCTTTCAAAAAGAGGGAACAAGCATATGCGTACCCTAAATGGCCGGGATCCCATTATTATGTTCATGATTTAATAAATTTATATGAAAGTCCCCCATTAACAAACAATCTTTATAAACAAACACTGGACTACTGGCAGTCAGATAACTGCATCAAAAATTCTCTTGGGTTTGAATTAGGGGGTCGATAAATTACTCCAACCATTATATTTTTACCTCTATGATTTAAAATTTCAATAAAAAGAGTTTCAAAGACATCATTAATTATTGAAATATTGTCATGCACAACATAATTACAATTTTTAAGCATATATAATGCAACACCACCGCCGACTCTACCTTGCCTGTTTTTAAAGACAAAATCGTAATTATCGATTAAAAAGGGTAAATTAGAATCATGGGATAACCAGGTCTCTGTCAGTCCAATTAAAGAAAGCTGTATATTGGAAGGGTTATCTAAGAATGATTGCAACTCATCAAAATGTTTATTTAAACTTCGTATATTGAAATGCAATAAAGAGAATCATAAAATTGTGCATTTGTTATATACTTTGAAAAAGAATGGTGTGCTGGATCATCGAGATCAAAATTCAAATTCAACTCCTGGGATGATGAATTTAAATTTTCAACAACAATTTCATCGAAAGTTCCTGGAAGATTAACAAAGGGTTGATTATTAGCTTGATTGGGTCTCAATAAATCAAAAAGGTCATCGTCGCTCACAGACTCAAAAGGTAAGTTGTGATCTAAATTAGCCATGATAAATAAGCGAAATCAAAATATGATCGAAAGAAAGGACAATGAAAAACCGCCACTTGCAGTAGGTAGGAAGGGAAACATACAACACGAACACAGAATAGACTTGAACATACATTGAGACACTGTTGGCATGACAAAAGAGCGAGGGGAAACAGTATAATGACGTTACAGTAAGCTAATAGGAAAACACCCATTAGAAGAAGGAAAAAAAAATAATGTTGAAGGAAGATTTAAAACTAGAGGACAAAGTATTACGGAATAAATTACAATATAAAGTTGTCAATAATTATAAAAGTACGATAAATAGCAACACTGTAGTAACAGGGTCAAATATGTACGAACGAGGCTTCAGGATTACATAATTTCTGGGATGCATAAGAAATGTTCAATTTCTTTAAAACAGAAAAAACAAAAAAAGCTTTAGAAGTTTCTTTTCGAGGTTTTTTTTTATTCAGGCATGGTTAATTTTAAACTTTGCCCCCATCGTTTTGTCACCCCCCCCCCCCCTCCAGCTCCTGTCGGTGTTTTATTATCACATGAATGGATCATTATGTTCGATTGTTATACTAAAAAAGAAATTACATTATATCAAGAATCTCAAGAAGTCATGGTACAATGTACATGTATTGATATAATTCGGAAATAATAGCTTTCGTTCGTATAGAATACTGAATATCGGTATGTTGTACAATCGGCTTGTCAACAAGCGAAGCGCTGAAACAAACGGCTTACATTGCCTTCATGTCTTTACCAAAAAAGCAAAATTGCTGGTAGACAATTTCCTTTTTGAATCTGAGAAGGAAGAAAAAGTAACATGATCCCTGGAATATACATCTTATTTAGTAAAATGCCGTATGGTTTTGCTTGGGGCATACATAACTGACATAAAACCTGAGGGGAGGGGGTAGCTGTATACATATAATGATCCTGTAATATTTTATTTTTTTGTCAGGGATACATTTTTCTTAAACTGATGATCACGGCATTACCATATCGTAAGGAGACATTTCAAAATGTATGTAAATGATATATTACCATTCATGTAATTGATTTCAACATCTTCTTTGTTCCTTTGATATTTTTTATTTTTTTCAGTTCAACAGTTGATTATGGACAAAGACAAAGGTTTCTGTTTTACCATCGATAAGAATGCGTCATTCTGCAAGATTCGTGTTTTATATAATGGATTTTACTATTTCACTGCACAGTATCAATTCAATAATATTTTCAAGGCAATGAAATAGTAGATTTAATAGTAGGCCTAAGTGAATTGCATGGTAAAATGGTCCCCTTATTTATATATAAAAAAGAAGGAGCAACATTGATCTTTAACGGATGCACTTCAGTTTGATTCGATTTGCTTTGATATAAACTTACACGATCGCAAAGACTTTCGAGAATTCAACTCAAGGGCATTTCCAATACTGAAATATCCTATTGGTGATATTCAGGGAAAGATGAGGGGGCACTACGCCCCAATGCCCCCCCCCCCAACTGGGCTACGCCATCGTACATTAAAACTCAACGGCTTGGTCAATTGTAAAACTGGTATCGTTAACGTATGGTATGCACGTCATATTGTTACAACATCTATCCTGATTGATGAAGCAGAATTTGTTATATCCTACAATCATTACCAATGACAACCAAGCTGCTTTTTTATTAACAAAATTTTATTTGAGACCTTCATGTCAGATGTGTTGGTTATAGATACAGATTAATAATCTTGTCAACGATGTCTTCGAATTAAACAAACCAACCAATAATAATGGATTTAAAATTTAAAAATATGGATTTTAAGAAACATTGGATCTAGTATCATCGTTTGCACATTGGAGCAAACTGGGATATATTTATTAAGGACAATTTTTAATCTACTTAAAAGAAACTTCATAATACTGCAGTCGTTCCTCAAGTTTTCTGGTTGGTAAAGTTGACAAGGACCAACTGAACTTGATCTTCTTATGTCCTTTATAATGCTCTCATGCATTGAGGCTACAATGTTTATAGTAAAATGTCGAATGAGCTATAAACCTCTGCTTCTATTGTCACGATTGTGTACTATACATACTTTGATTTAATTTGCTTCGCTTAACCAGTCAGCTGTGCTGCTGTGTCGTGGAATAATACCAACTTATATTTTATTTTTCAAAAGCATACTATTACCATACCAAGGCCACAGAGCTTCAATTGCTCTGAATCTAATACCAGAGCTCCATACGGCATATATTCTTCATACCTGCACGTTCTGCAAGCAGGCGACTCAAGGCTCAACTGCGATATCTTGAATATATTGGCTATCGTGTTGCGTCTTTACAGGTGTTTTAATCTCACGCGATAAAGGACAACATTATCGCCAGACAATCTCATAACTCAGTATTCAGGCTTCGTATGTCTCTACCAAGGAAGAGCTTCGCAATACACTTCAACAAGTGTTTTCCGGATATACACAATGTCTACAACAATAATTGATTCATTTTGGAACATCTTGTGACGCAGCTTTCATATCTTAGTAAGTATTAAGTATTATTCATAATTTTAGTACAAGTCATGTACATTTGTAATGACTCGATTCCCTATATCTTTTGTAGATCGGGTAAATGAAACTATTCTACAGAAAAGTATATATAGATATCATATAAACTAAAATGGGCCAATTCTGTTTATCTTTGAAGACCATTAAATCAGATATACATTTAAACTTGTATTATTGGCAAGTCCAATAATAGGTCTGTTTTGTGTCCCATCCGTTTTTAATATTAATATGCAAGTAAGAATATAATGTACATTGAAAGACTAATTTTCGTAGCCATCTGTCTGATCTCAGCTATAGTAAAGCTATCTCCTTCTTTCTTTCTTTTTTTCTTCTTCTTCTTCCTCTTCTTCTTCTTCTTCTTCTTCTTCTTCTTCTTCTTCTTCTCATTCTTCTTCTTCTTCTTCTTCTTCTCCTCCTTCTTCTTATTCTTCTTCTCTGGATGTCGGCTTTCTACTTATTTATAGGCCGTTCTAAAATCTTTGATGTTTGGACAAAATACCTGGGAATTGCCCATTATACAGTTTATTGCATATTCTGTCAGCAAGGATAGTTGTAAATCACGGCTGAAGTCTTTTGAACTATTAACGGTTCGCGAGTCAAGTTTGGACAATTTAGGCACTGGTTCATACAAAAGAGATTCAAATCTATTCAGTTTCACCACGCGATTCTATCCGGATTTGACTTATTTCTGACGATCTATTATTCGCAGCTTTTTAACCGTACCGACTTCTTTTAGAATAAAACACCCAAACCAAACAACTTCAAAATTGTTACCGTATGGTTGAACGAGCCAAAATTAGCTATGTCCATAGGGCTTGCTGTGCATAGGCTTGTAGTTTTTCTCAGGTTGTCCTAATGTATGTAGTGATATGAAAATAGTGTACTCTAGTCAGTCATGGGGGGGGGGGGCACATACATACAAACTGGCAAAACCGTCGAAAACAATCTCTTCATATTTTCTTTGCTATCTTCACACCATGAAAGTAGCTAGCCAACCAAAAAGTGACAGATCAAAGAACGACGTCAGTCAGTGAACATTATGGGAATGTAAAATAAAAATGAATGAAACAAAATGTAATGAATAAATAGACAAACAAACAAGCTAACAAACATAAAGTAAACATCGCCAAAAGAATACTTTGTGTTGTATGTTCATCTGTAGCAGCAGAATAATCAATAATACAACCAAAGGCCTTAAATGATATGGAGGAATTTTGTTTCTTTATCCGTCATGATAATAATTTCATCCAAAATTTATTGAAGCATAATTTGCCATCGTCGTAAAGAAAAGGTTCAATGTGGAAAAAGATAATATCTTTAACATATTAAGTTCGGGCTGCAATGTATTGTCAGGGGCAGATATAAAGGGATGGTTGGGGTAGAGGTTGTCACTAACCCTTTATGATTTTGGAATAGAAGTGTCATATATATTTTCGGCTCGTACTTCTGCTCCCCTCCCCCCCCCCCTCTCTTCTCCCATCGAAATAATGCTATATCCGCAAACCATTGTAAATACAAAAATGTGAGTACGTGCTCACAGCACAAAATTTGATGGTATTATTTTCATTTGCTGTTTGCCAAGATGAAATGGCACTTCGATTTAAATACTTTTTTTGGCTTCGACTTTGAACCTCCACTTTGCTATAGTATTATCTCAAAGAAATAGATGTATATGCTGACCATAAGTAAACAATTTAGCGAAAGGGCTCTTGCCCGAATGTCATCTTCCCTGTTCCTACATTTTGACGGCACATTAGGCCTATTTCATATATATATTTTTTAGTGCATTGTGTATGTATGTGTAGTCGTCTGCTAATGTATATACCTAGATCTTCGTTGTTATACCATAAGATGTAGATATTACAGAGAACCAATGGAGATACAGATATAGGACACAGCTCTTACTAATATGACTTTTTTTCATTCATTTTTCTTGCATTGTGTATATATATATTTTGCAACTTCTGGTAACGTATCTTCGCCGTCATAATGTAACATACTAGAAGGAATAGTATCGGTAGTTTAATAAAATTAAGAGGAGGAGTGCATAACCCTAGGCCCCCCCCCCCCACGGATGCAGTTCGTACTCACTTTATTCAGATATCCTAATTTTATATACACATCCATTAATTGGGACCTATATAATACAAGCTTTCCTTTTCAGTAGATCCCCCACTTTATGTAGCTTTGTCAGTGTATTTCTCATACTTATGATTGTATCTTTTGTCAAAACTATTACTATGTACATTATGTTCCTTCATGCATCATGTTTAGTTATAATTATTACCATGTATATTGTGTTCAATTATGTTATTTTCGATAAAGTGGAAAACAAATCAACTTGGAACTTGAAATAATAATCGTATTGTTTTTCTTTCAGTTCGCCCTGGCATGCATGCTTTGGGACGAAATTATTCGACACCTCAATGACAAGACACGATAACGGTTTCCAAGACGACGACGACGAGGACGCCGACGAGGGAAACGATCACGACAGACGGTCGTCACATGTTTTAACTTCATATTCTCATTGACATGAGCAATGTCACGGTCGCTCCAACGGTGGAGGTCAGTTTAAGAAAGGTGGTTTTGTAATAAATAGGAAATCAATTATTATTATTGAATAGCGATGATCAAATACATAAAAATAACTTCAATTAAATTATTTCAGTTTGTCTTTAGAGTTTCTGATTCCTTTGGCACGTGAAGATGATTTCTCGGTCTATCATCCCCCCCCCCCTCCCCCCTTCTCTCATTTTCTGTGACCTCTTTGTATTATCCATTAAGATTCAGCCAACAAGCATCGTCAAGGAGGGAGGGGCATTCTTTATAAATGAGGCTTAAAACTTGAATCCCGCTCAAAAAATCCCCCCCCCCCTCCTCGAGCTGAAAGGTTTCAACAATTCCTATTTTTCCTTGTGTCCATAACAATTCTGCTTTTCCACTTTTCATAGCCCTTCCCTTACTTTCTCAATAAAAAAGTACAAAAACTCTTTTCTCAAATACAACTGAAAAAAATAAAGATTATTTTGATTTTTTCACTCTTTCCGCCTCCCATCTTTAAAGACTGTGAGATGACTTGCTGTTTCAGTTTTCATGTTCATCACGGTCTCAAAAAGTTCTGAGTAACATAGCAAATAAATGTGCATTTGTACCAACAATCATGCGTTCAAATACTAGCTTAAGCAATCCTCGTTGTGAATAGAATCAAATAAACAATAGTACTAACTACTAACATAGACAGACGTACATGGATTTACAAGAGGATATGTCTATATGCAGTGCTGTGCTCCCCTTCCCTTCTCAAATGAACGTGTATATAATATATCTTGTTGAAGTGTTCTTATATTTTTGTTGACAGTGCCCTTGCGCTGGGTACCTGCACTTTGGAACCACGGAAACGATTCTTTTCAAGAAATGGACGGTTTCGAATGCCGGAGGTATGATATTCTAGACCCATTTCTACGAGAATGACATGATATTTTGGATATAAGATATATTTGCAATCACTTCAATTTTTTTCTTCAAGTAATCATTTGCGTCTCATTCTAGTACTGTCTTTCTCATATACACATAAAAGAGCTTTCCTGGCCTTTTGAAATATAAGTTTACATATATTTCGCGAGGTATCTCATTTTGGTATACCAAAAAGAAAACCCATACGGCTAGCTTGGTCACTTAAAGTGTAGTCCCGTATCTTCGAGCAGGGTATATTCAGTAAGAAATATTAAATAATGTTGCTATGATTTTAAAAACCTCCATAAACTCTTTTTGTAAATATTGTATACATATTCAGTATTTCGTAATAGTTTTTTTGCCAGTTTGATAAAAATCAGAAGAGTACCAAATACCTTTACAAAAAAAGAAATTACTTTATAGGCTACATTTTCTTCTTTTTTTTTCAAAATGAAAAGGCAAATATTACTTACATCTGTTTGATGTTCGGTTTGAAATATATATATATACTGTACCATTAATTTCCGAGTCTCCTTCCCTCCCGCTTCCCTCTTACTTACATACTCTCTCTCTCTCTCTCTCTCTCTCTCTCTCTCTCTCTCTCTCTCTCTCTCTCTCTCTCAGGTCTTCTCGGATCATGCCTGGTGGTCGTACTCCTCGCCATCCTGGTCGAAGGCCTGGTCGTCTTCCGGAAGCACCTGTCGAAGAAGTACGCCACCGATGTCCGTCATCGTATGATAGAAACGGAGGCAAGCGAATCAACGAGATTGGTAGAAGAACAAGCCGAAGGACAGTAAGGAAAATTACTAGCATTCGTGAGATTTAAAGCCCCACTGCACTATTTATAGCTACTTGCGCCCTCTATATAGCAAACAATGCCAATCGGTGACCATCGGTCCCCCATGATCCCCTTTTTCTTATGTTAAGTGAGAGCTGATTTGATGAGACAACCACCTGTCGGTGACCATGCAAGGAGGTCTAATCCCTCCTGGCCAAACTAGTACAGAGGGGCTTTAAAGTTTGTTTCCTTTTAATATCTCACGAATTAGATATTTCCTCGATGAGAAACATTACCGAATCTAAATCATAGTATTATGAACACCCCTAATGAACAAAATCTTTCCTAGGGCGTATTACAATTTCATTGACCGGATGGGGGCTGGTACAGCCTAAAATATGCAGACAAGCCATAGGGGCGTCTATCACCTGTGCCCCCCCCCCAGACCCGCCACCGACGAGTTGTACATTCTGAGTAGCAAAAAGTAATATGCTTTGTTTGGGTTGCGGGTTTATCAATATTCGTTTAGCGGTTGTCGATTCCAATTATGTATTTCACAAGAATTAAAATAAAAAACATCTGTGTTTAGTCAACCAGTAATATTCTCGATCATTTACATATTCAAAGCATATTCGATTACATGATGGAACGTGCGGGGTACAAAGTGTTGCCATGGTACTAACTATGATACGACAGCTGAGCATATATTACTCGGGTACACATGTTTGCATAGGTCTTTGATAAATATGTTTTATTTTTTACATGATTAAGATCTAATCCATATGATATTGCTACAAATAAATTCTATTTTAATGCTAGCTGCAGCAAAAATGTCCTACACTTTGTCTTATGGTATTAAGCTATGTGAATATTTTTTTTTTTATAAATCATATTGAATACTGTGCCAGTCTCCAACAATCACACAGTAGAACCAATGATATATCATTCTCAATGATTAATCACTGTTTAAATGTTTCAAATAAAACAAAAATTGAAACACTGTGGTACGTGCACACTGTGATATCATATGTGACCACAGTGTTTCACAAAATATGGCACAGTAGGCCCCTATAAAAATGGTTTGACAACCATTTTCTTCTAGCCAATACAGTGTAAATAATCTTTATAAATCCGCAGTAAAATCACACAGTGGGCCTAACATTCTGTGATCCTCATTTACTCCACAGTTTATCATGTTGTGTCACGTTGTATATAAATAGTGTGAACAGTACTTTTACGTTTTAAACATTATTAAAGAGTTCTTAATCCACTTCGTGTGGACACGTCGCGTTGCATAGACATTATGATCGTCTAAGTATACACATGAAGATAGTAACACAATTACCATAGATAAACATTGTACAAGTGTTTTCAAAGTACTATGTGGTCAAACTGTGGTAAGTGTTTGTGAATGTGGCCACAGTGTTTCACATAATGAGAAAATTATGTGAATGGTGCATATTGATCAAAATTTACCGTATCCATGTTATGTCCATATTGCTGTGTTCATACTTTCTGATTCCTACTGTGGTCACAGTGTGCCACACTTTGCCACACGTTGAACCACAGTGTGGACGTGTTTACATCATCAACACATTCGAAATGATTAAATTACTCTATCTGATGTATCAAAGTGTGTGAGACATTGTTATATTTTAGGCAGTGGGGTAGGGGAAACTAACCTTTTCAGTTACATATAGAAAAAGCTAAATAAAACTTATGATTATCATTCATTTTATTTTTCTGTTTTCTTTCCCCAATAGGATACCTTTATTTTCCTGGAGCCACCTCATTCTGACCGCCCTCTACGGCCTCCAGACACTCATCTTTTATCTTCTCATGCTGATAGCAATGACACTCAACGCATATCTCCTGATAGCGATAGTGATCGGATCAAGTATAGGTTACTTCATGTTCGCGTGGCGATGCTCGGTGAAAGTAAATGTGACGACAGTTAACAGATGATGACTATGTGCATGGTTGAGAAATCGCTTCATTTTATCAAGAAATATTCTTACTTAACATTAACTTTGTAAAAGTCATTAGAGCTGGGCATTAGAGATTGGAGCAATTGTCGGGTACTTCTTGTTCAATTGGCGTTGGTCTGTGAAAGTGAATATGACGTCGGTTCGCCATTCATTCGCATTTCATTTTCAATAAAGACCAGTGGCGTAGACAGGTTCGTACACCTGGGGGGATGACTCAGGGGCGGATCTAGCTTTTTGCTAAGGGGGGGGGGTTGACCAATAATGACGATGCGGAGCATCGTCCACGAGCCGCGAAGCGGCGAGCCGATTTTTTGGGGGGTGTTTATTTGAACCCCGTAAGTGATGTTTTCCTGGCATCTATTAACACAATGGAGACCATAAAAAGCAGTGCATGATAACGTCTTTTTAAATCAAGTAACAGTTAAATACACAGTTATATCCAGAATTATCATGTGTTTGGTTAAGTTACCAGATGAGTTGAATATCTTCTCACAATATTTGCACTTGAAAGGGTTTCTCTCCAGCGTGCGTTCTTTTTTCTTTCTTTTTTTCTTTTTTCCCCCTTTTTTTCCCCTTTTTTTTTGGTTTGTTTTTTGGGCCGCCCAAGGGGGTTTAAACCCCCTAAACCCCCCCCCCCCCGTAGATCCGCGCCTGTTTAATCTTGTGGTTATCTTGTGGTTTCCAAACAACAAGATAACCACAAAATACTTGTAAGATTTTCTTTTTTTTACCGTCTGAATTGGCTTTCACCGTGTGAATGCGGCTAATAACAATAAACTCAATTTCAATAATGAATAGGAATATTATTATCATCATCATAATTATTATTATTATTAATATTATAATTGTTATCATTATTATTATTACTATTATTATCATCATTATGACTTATTAAGTAAGCAAATATCATTCCCCAAAACCTGGGGGGGGGGGGATGATTGTACATGCCATCCCCCCCACCTTGTGAGGTGGGGGGATGCATCCCCCTCATCCCCCCCGTTGTCTACGCCCCTGATAAAGACCGCCCCCCCCCCCCCACACACCCACCATCGTTCTAGCGCCCCCTCAACGGATGAACTCACGCTACACCTCTGAGTATGACGATCGCATTTTCCCAAGTTGAAGCGTACCGTTGACGATGCGGTCTTCCAGTTTCTTGCGACTGCAGTTGATGGCGACTTCATTGGTCTCAATGCTCCGTTAGAATGAGAGTGAACATCAAGGCATGACAGGGATGTGACGACCAAACTCCTCTCTGCTGTGTCATTAATCGCCGACACGGGACAAGGCAACGCAGAGAACATCTTCATGTATCCGCGATGTAACCCGACGGTTGCAAGACAATGTTGCATGAACTTCAAGAAGGCAACCCGACACTTGCTCCTGCGACAACTTTGTCAAAGGTATTATGGTTATGGTTAGGGTTACAATTGTGTTTTATGTTAGGTTAAGGGTTAGGGTTAGTTACAATTTTGGGGTCCAAGCATGAAGTTCAAAATTCAGGTAATGTAGGAAATAATCGCGGAGCAATTGTCGCAGGCAGGAGTACAGTCCTTTGCAGAAAAAAGCTTCCTTCGAATCCGAACTTGCCGCGGATCCAGCAACAACCTCATTATATTACCAAATATGAAATCGAAATAACAATGTGCAGTCTTCCAGGGGATTTCTACATGATAATCTTCGAAAGCTCTTGCGATCCTAACACATCGGTGGCCTTATACTATTTTTTACCATTGTACTTTCTGCAATAATTCGCATAAATGTGTTATATTATTTCATCATCCATGATTTCATTAAATATGTCAGCTGGCCTGCTACATGTATGTTATGTATGTTATGAAAACTAAATTGATAGACAGGGAGATAGAGAGATTGATAGATAAATAGTAGAAAGAAATATAGATAGGGAGTATTAAAAGATTAAAAAGGAAAGGGGTAGCATAAAAGGAAATAATATATATAGAGAAATCTTTATAAAAGAGATTTATTTGATGTCTTCCATGTGCATTAAACATTTTGTTAAACTTAGTTTGGAAATATCCTTTACCTTATACTCGATACAATTGTCAATTTTGTATGATTTTATTTTCTCCTTCAGTATTTCACAAAGTGATTGACGTAATTTTTCGAAATTTAGTTCATATTTCTTAATGTTATTAATTTATTTATTTAGTAATGGAATTTGTCCGTTTTCACTCAAACTTTGAGATTATCTTTAATTGTGCATTTAGCATTGAAGTCACTACCTAAGCATAATTTTCTCTCATCTGAACAATGTTACCAAGTCCCTTTTAGCCCGGTTAGCATAGAGGGCGCGGAGGTAGTCAAAGCTAGCGGTTTACTGATTTGTGCCTTATTTAATCTCTGAAGATCACACTTTATCCGTAACAAACACTTGTGTGGACTGGCGCCCTCTATTTAAATATTTTAGTAAGAAAATGTTTGACACGTTAGGTGATTTTAGCAGCGTATATTTGAATTATATTAATACTTATTTGTGAATAATGAAATATATATATATATATATAAAAAAAAGTACTCATTCTTATTTCACCTTGCCCGAGGCTTCTCTGACATGGCATTAACGAACCGATGTATGGTACTGTGATTAAAAGGCACTCATGGACACAAAGAAGAAAAGAGTTACTCGAGAAACATTAAAATCTTAATTCTATTTTTGTCATCAAATATGTTAAAGATTGTGTCATTCATTGTAATTGAAAAACTGGACTACTATTCAGATTAATCCAATTTTATAATGAAACGGAAGTCATTGTATCATGTACCTTTGAATGTGATGTGATAACGATCAGGAGAAATTCAACAGTATAATTCTAATCTAGCTTAACATTTACTCCAACGAAAAGAGTAACGGTTGGTAAAAAATCACGGATATTTAAGAGAAGGTAGATTGGAAAAATGAATGATAGGCCTTATAACCGTAGTACATTATGATGCGGATAGAGAAGAGATTTGTGATGAGGGAGAGAGAAAAGGGAGGGGAGAAAGAAAGGAAGGATGGGAGAGAGAGAGAGAGAGAGAGAGAGAGAGCGAGAGGGAGGGGGTTAGAGGGGAGGGATACATGAACCAGGTGTAGATAGATAGAGGGGATACATTCAGACATGCGATCATGAGAAAAAAGGAAACGCAAAATAACACAGAACGCCAAGAGAAGGTGTTACTCATATTATGCTACCTATGTTTTTATAACCTATTGGCAATGCAGATTAAAACAAGTACAGATACGACAATAAAGCTATACAATAATGAACCATTAGAGAAAAGAGGGTCAGGGGGACGGCATTCAGGAGAGGCTAAAGTGGTAGGCCATTACCAGTGACCTGTGGCAGAACCAACAACGATCTCCTAGGAAATTTTGAGTGATGGAGGTGACGAAAAGATGAAGAAGCTAAAGCGACAGGGTGATCCATGCGGGGGGAGGAGGGGGAAGGGTTGGAAAAGGGGTGTGGCGAAACTGGCGCCCCCGCAAAAGGCCGGTGGAATCTAGTTCACGAGGGGGGGGGGGGGATTCTGGATCTAGTCACACCCCATTCCCCAACGCCAAGCCAACGCAAGCGCACTGTTCCTTTAGAAATGTTGCTGTCAGACAAAATTTTGCCCCCCCCCCCCTTTTTTTCGGACAACCATGGATACACCCCGTTAGTAATACCCCTATCAGCCATCAATCACTCATCATCGATCTCCTCCTCGTCTCATCTCGTCGTCATCGTATCTACCATGCTTCACGCATCCCAGAAGGCGAGGTAGCTAGGCGCAGGGTCCAGTGATGTCCGCATTCCGGGCAATCAGTCCTGGTGCCAGGATCGGAAACTTACCCTCTCTAAACGTTTTAAAGGTATTATGAAGGAAGTGAGTAAATAAGGATTGCCATGTGGATGGCATGAATTAAAATGAACTATACATTTTTTGTTGCAGCACGTGAGCCCTCTATTCCTCCAAAATGATTAAACATTTGTATACATTAATTGAGCAAAGTGAATTATAAATTGTGTATTTTTCTTAATCTGAAACGAAACTATTTGGCATGAATACAACTACTGTTAACGATCTCGGCAATCATGTTTTATAACATCTTTATGTCTCATATGTTTTGTATTGTATGCCCTGGCAGTTATGAGCCATGACCTGGACTACTCTTATTATAACTATGTCTGTGACTGTGTAATTCCTTTATGTTTATACATACAGAATCTAAATCATAGTATTAAAATTCCCTTGACCGGATGGGGGCTGGTACAGCCCAAAATATGCAGAGAAGCCATAGGGGCGTCTATCACCTGTGCCCCCCCCCCCCCCAGACCCGCCACCGACGATTTGTACATTCTGAGTATTGTATGCCATGCATTGGCAATTATGAGCCATGACCTGGACTACTCTTATTATAATTATGTCTGTGACTGTGTAATTCCTTTATGTTTATACTATGTGCCTTTACTGAAGATTGATAATAAAGCGATACAAAATAAAAATAAAACATATTACGAGAGCAGAATAGCTTGGTCTCTCTTTCATTTACCCACCCATGTTCCAACTCTTCTTTATTAGTCTTGTCATGATTATCATTGACGTGTAATAGATTTTATCCTAGGATATTCCTTTCAAATCTTAGTACTTCCTTTTCCATTCAACTTTATCTTCACCATCATTGTCATCATCACTATCATTATCACTATCACCATCATTTTCTCCACCTCCTCCTCCTCCCCTCCTCCTACTCCTCCTCCTCCTCCTCCTCCTCCTCCTCCTTCTCCTCACCACCACCCCAACACCACAACCATAATCACAACCCAAAGCACCACTTATATTATCTTCATTATCAATATCAACAAAAAAGTCGCTAGCGTTGTCGTCATCGTCATCATTTTCATTATCATCATCTTCATTCCCATTATCGTAATTATCAACTCTTCGCCATCATTCTCAGCCAGTATCAATTTCGTCATTTCCCTAGTACCCCTTATCACCATCTCAGCTGACACAATCACTGCCTTCATCACAATCTAGCAATTATTTCCTTTCCACCTTTACGTTGATTCCTCTGCCCCCCCCCCCCCCCCCCCCCCCCTCTTCTCGAAAATAGTCAGAATCTCGTTTTGGGCCGCGTCCTTCAAGATTAACATTTTATGTTC